CAGACTTGCCGGGCAGCCCGAACAGCGCCTCGTCACGGGGCTGAAACACGCAGTCGGCCCGCCAGGGGTTCACGACCTGCATGTCGTGCACCAGCAGGTTTTTGTTTTCTGGATTGGAGATGTTGGCTTAGGGGCAATGACAAGCCTGGGTAATACAGGTTCACCATGGAGGACGCACGGACTTTCAAAGTGACACTGCCATTCCTCATCGAAGCGCGAGCATCCACGTTTGGATGCAAGTGGCCAGTTCAAAAGTGGCTCGTAGACAGATGGCTCGAAAAAGCGACACGTGATGTGATCAAGATACAGAGAGCATGGCGCAAACACAGACAAAATATGCTGTGCAATGCATGTTCGCAGACTTCTTGCTACACTGACTCAAAGACAGGCAGGCCGGGAATGCAGAGAGAGTGCAGCAGGAAGATGGATCTGCAAACTTGATTGGAGGCTTGGAGGCTCTCACCCTGAGCTGCCTGTGGATAGGAGCCGTCTCGGAGACTGGGGGCAAGGTCGCTTCGCCCACCATGCCAGCCACTCGAGCAGGGAAGATGGCACCGGGCCCAGACAGCCAGCTCTTGAGCAGCTGGAAGCGGTCCCCGTCCCGCGTATCCTCCCACTGCTGCAGGACCGCCCCCAGCTCCCGGTCCCTGAGCAGCTCGAGGGAGCGACCCAGGGAGTCTGCTTCAGGCAGCCACTGCTTGAGACCACCCGTCAGTACCCAGTCCCAGAATATCCCCCAGGCTGGGCCAACCCACCCATCAAACTTGACAAAGAAAGGCGCTGTGCTCGAGGTCAGCTCCTCGAGGCAATCAGCCCCAAAGACCGAGCTGTCCAGAGTTGCCTGGGAAGGGTACTCGGATTGGAGGAGCGGTCTGATGGATGCCGTGTGACCGGTCAAGACAAAGCTTGTGGTCCGGTACCAGTCGAGGAGTCCAGCATTGCCCCGCTGCAGGTCCTGGTAGGCGGCCAACTCCTGGCGGACCCTCTGTTCCAATTCGAGCAGGGTGTTATCTTGGTAGTTGCCCAGCCTGTTGCGCCGCTGGGCTGCTTCTCTCTCTGCATTGTTCAGCGAGACAGACGCAAACTGCTCCGCAGATTGGCCCCTAACCAACAGGTCCAACGCCTTCTTTTGCCTCACCAACAACTCCTTGACATGCAGCCAAACGAAGCGCGGCAGGGCCTGCGAGTGGAACGTGGCAATTGTCAGTTCGTCTCCATGCATTGCAGGTAGGTTGTCCTTCTGCCTGTCTCCCA